TGGGCAGAGCGGCCCTGTCCCAAAAGCAAACTCATTGCTATCGCATCCATTCCTACTGGTAGCCGCCCTGTAGGACAGAGTAGAACTGGTCCTATGGACTTCTGAAACTGTGACAGCTCATCTTTCTCCTGCGAGCGGTGGGTGGTTTCGAACTACTGCCTTGCAGTGAGCAGCAGCCCAGTGCATGACCACTAAGGCGCCTGCTGGCACCTGTGAAAGACCAGAAACCAGACAGGATGAGTGCTGAAAGGCCACCCGCAGGTGCTCAGGCCAAGTGCTCCTGCGACCCGGCTTCCTGGGCTGACCCAGGCCTTTCACCATGTCTTCTCTCAGGTGGGTGGCTGCAGAACTCCCAGGGGGGCCACCACAGAGGCTGGCTCTGGGCAGCTAAGAGGCAGGTCAGTGGGGCCGGGAGAGGGAGGAGGGGTCCGCAGACACTAAGACCTGGACCTTGGAGGGGAAGTGCAGGAGGACAAAGACGGCAGCCGCTGCCTTCAAGCCGTTGAGGCAGAAAGTTCGAGAAGGAATCGCTGAGCTGGGCAGAGTTTGGGCCTCGGCTCGTGTGAAAAATTGAATTGTGTTCCCCCAAAAGCGAAGCTAATATTCCCAAGCCCCGTACGCTGAATGCAACCTTGTTTGAGGAAACGTGGTTTTTCTTTGCGGGTGCTATTAATTACATTCACTGAATAGACCAGGCAGTGGGTCCAAACGCTGATCTCTTCTGAGTGGCATTTATAAAAGAGAAAGACAGCTAGGGTCACAGTCGCGAGGGGAGGGTCTGTCCACACGCTGAGGAATGCCCCAAAGGGCCGCAACGGCTGCGGCTCTAGAAGCCGAAAAGAGATGGGGAAGCGTGTGTGAAGAAAGTGAGAAATGGAGAGAGAGGGAATTTGCAAGAGAGATTGAGAGAGAGAGAGCCAGAGTAAGAGGAGAGAGAGGACTGACCTAGGCCTGAATTTGTCCTTCTTGTTCCCAGAACTGTGAGGGAAAACACTCGTCTTCATGTTTGTCACAGTGGCCCGGGACATGGAGACTGCCCGGTCAGAGGAGTGGCACAGCTCTGAAGGGTCAGCCATGGTCAAACGAGCCCACTGCTCTGACAAGACCAGAGAAGAGTATCGGACCGGGCAGACACGTGCAGATCCTATCACTTGATCTCTTTGGGTGACTATCTCTGCAAAGCGCAGTGTGGAGGATGGGGCGGGGAGTTCACTGTCAGGCTCATGCAGGAAGGCAAAGGCGGGAAGGCCCCAAGCTACCTGCATGCCCACCACCTGCGTGCCCACCACTGTGGTCTGGACCAGCCCGAGAGCACACAGCATCTGCCAGCCCGGCCGGCGACTCCCACACCACACCTTCCCCTCCGCCTCCCTGCAGCCCTGCGGAAGACCCCCAAAGCCACCTTGGCGCGGAGTTGACAACAACAGTGTGCTTGGGCTCCAGGCCAGCCTCACCCAGCTGTGCTCTGCAGCCCCTGTCGCCCAATGTGGCAAATCCTGACGCCAAGCCACGAAGGTGAAGAGGGAGGGGACACAGTCCAACCGGCCCGCCGGAGGGAAGCCTCTCCTGACGGTATGCCAGGCACATCGGTGTCCCAGGGTTTATTTGAACGGCGTGCTTTGCCGATGTGGATTTATGCAGCGTTGTAGAGACTGGGCGACGTAGTTGACATCCGTCATCTCAGGGAGTCAATCAGATGGTGGCTGCGTGCCAGTGAGTCCGTTCTAACTCATAAGGACAAAACGAAACACCGTCCTGTCCTGCACCATTGTCACCGTGGTCCTTCTGTCTGAGCCTGTGGTGAAGCCCCGATGCCGTCCATCTGGCGGAGGGGTTCCTCTTTTTCACTGCCCGTCTGGTTTACTAAGCAGGACATCCTTCTCCAGGGACTGCTCTCTCCTGGCAACATGTCCAAAGGACGTGAGACAGAGTCCCACCAGCCTTGCATCTCAGGAGCAGACTGGCTGCACGTCTTCCAAGACAGACTGCTCTTCTCCAGCACCATCCTTCACCTGTTCACCTTGACCTTGGACAAGTCCTCTCCTCTCCTGACCAAAGTCCCCACCCTCTCCCCAGAAGCCCCCTGAGTCCCCTTCCCCTTTGGGAAATGCTTTCTGTCCTCTGGACTTCTGGGTCTCCATGACCTCAGACCCTTCCTCAGCTCCCAAGAGTCCCTCACCGGGCTCCTTCCTGCCTTACCCCCTCCTCTCGGTAGTTCCTGAATGCATCCCGAACTCCACCTGCAACAGCATCATGGTCACAGGGCAAAATGAGAGCCCCAGCCATGCCTGGCCGCCTCTGACAAGTGGTACGCTTGAATGCTGTTCTATTCGACCCCAGACCAAAAAGAGCTCACTGCCGTACAGTTGATTCTGACTCACGGTGACGCCATCGGACAGAGTAGATCTGCCCTGAGGGTTTCCAATATGGCATCTCTTCATGGGAGTAGAAAGTCTCATTGTTCTCCCGAGGGGCTGCCAGTGACCTGGCAGAGCTGAACCGATGCAGAACGACAACCCTACCCGGGCTCCCTACTCCGCACAGTGTGTCCTAAATCTTACCATTGCAACAGGCAGTTGGTATACATTTCTTAATACCATGCCTCTGAATCCCTGTTGATACTTGCAGCACATCGCAGTTCTGCTAATGCCCTGCAGTGAGGGTCTACTGTAATGGCCAGCTCGGATCGCTACCTCGACCCGTGGTCCTTACCAGGGTGTGTCCTCTTGGTTGTTAGTTACTATCACATTGGCTCTGACCTATGGCAGCCTAACAGGACCACGCGTTGACCAGTTTGGCTCCATCCGCATGGTCGTTGGCATGTTTAAGTCCATCGCTGTGGTGCTCCTGTTCATACATTTCCGGGAGCCTCCCCTCCTGTCCGCTGACTCTCCACCTGCCCAAACCTGCTGTCTCTGTCTACAGCGTGCTCTTTCCTGATGATGTGTCCAGAGCTAAAGTCTCACCAACTCCCTTCCTAAGGGGCATTCTGATTGTATTTCTTGGAAGATTGTTCATTCGTGCTTGGGGCACCTGCAGACTATTCAATAGGAAGCACTCTCCTCACTGGCTACAGAATCCCTCATGGGTTGAGGACAACAGGCACATTTCCTAGAGGAGAAAGCTCGTGGGTTTTGACATTGTCATTACACCGAATGTAAGCACCACGGTGTGTCTCCCATGTACTGCAAGCTCAGTTGTAATTTGACTAGGAAAGACTTCCGACGGATTGAACACTGAACTGTGGCCGGCTGTGTGGTCGCCTCTCGGAAGTGCCCACATTGGAGGGAGAGAGAGAACAGCGATTGTGAGGCAGGCACAGGACCAGGCAGTGTTTGGTTCTGTGGGGCGCAGGGTCACAGGGAGTCGGAACCCACTCCGTGGTTCCTAACAGCAGCAGCAGCAGCAAAACGATCCACGTGCACAGAGAACTGACCAGAGACCAGAGGCCGCAGACCAGGACGTGGGGGTGGGGGCCGTGGACGTGCTCGTGGTCTTGGCAGCCGGCCTTGGCTCACGGTCACACGGCAGCAGAGCTGTTGTCTGGGCGACTGAGATGATCTCCATGCCGTTGCTCACACTTGCTCCTGGGCCTGCGGGTCTTGGCCCCGCCCGCTGTTGCTGCGAGCAGTGTGCTTGGCCAGAAAGAGCCCCCTGACTGCTTGTGGGGAACCCTGATTTGTTGCCCTCTCACTTCTCCCTTTGGGGAGGCGACTTCCTCCAAACGTTGAGTGTGGCACCTCCAGCCTCCTTCTGCATGATGCGAACCAGTTCCCTTGAACTCACGGGAAGCAGCAGGCTGGGCAGAGCACAGGACCTCGGCTACCACAGGGGTCATGTCGGCCACAGTGCCGGCCTGGGCTCCTGCATCCTCCAGGGCAGAGTCTGCAGACAGGGGTGCAGTCAGGGGGCGGCTCCCGGACCCCTGGGTCAGAACACCCCAACGTGGACTCGCTTCCTCCAAGAGCTGCCCTGAGGGTGCTGGGTGCTGGGACAGAGGCTCGGCCGCTCCACAGCCCACGGTGCAGGTCCCGCCTCAGCCCCCTCTGTTCTGCCCTGTTTTCTCTGTGGCTGGAAAAACAACAGACACCGTTTCTAATAAGTAATTCTAAACTCGATCTCTCGTCTCAGGGAAGGGTCCCTGGTGGCGCAGTGGTTAAAGTGCTGGGCTGCTAAGGTAGCCCAAGGGCCGGCACTTCTAATCCACCAGCCGCTCCGTGGGACCAAGAGTCGGTGGTCGGGACGTTTGCTATGAAAGTGGTCACATGTCCCCTAACAACTCTTACCACGTAGTCTGTCAACTGGACGGATCTTCCCCAAAGACCTCTTTAGTGTGTTACAGAGCAAAAATGGCACTTTGAATGCTAAGGTGCCTCTGACCCAAGAGACCGTATTTTCAAGCACCTCATATTCGTAACAGGAACCCTGGTGGCGTAGTGAGTTACACACTGGGCTGCTAACCACAGGTCAGCAGTTCTAAACCACCAGCAGCCACTTGGGAGAAAGATGAGGCCTCTAGTCCTGGGAAGAGTTGCAGGAAGCCCCCAGGAGCAGTTCTACTCTGTCCTAAGTGCAGTCAGCCTCGACTCGGTGGCGGCAGTGTGAGTTGGGTTTGGAGACTATTCAATATTCTCCTCCAGAACCATCATTCTTCTGCCAAAATGTGCCTATTTGCACCTGCACGGTGTCTACGTTATAGTTCAAGAAAATGTTAAAAATCCTCTTTGGGGCTCCAGTGTGGCCTGTGTGGCCCAGAGCCACCTCGGTTGGACCGGCTCCGTCCATCACTACGTGCTCACCCCATCGGAGGGCTCGTTTGCCCCTTGTACGACAGCTGGTTGTTTCCGCTCATGTCTCACCTGCTGTATCATAAGCTCCTTAAGGTCATGGTATTTCTTTTATAACTCCGCATTCCATCCCCCAGAGGGCCACAATCCTAAAGAAGTATGCCCGGCAGGCTGGTGGCAGGACGGACTAACCGTGGGATCCTCTCCTCTCAGCCCCATTCCAGATGCTGGCAAAGGAGGGGGCAAGGAAGAAGCGGAGGAAGGTGGCATGGGGCTCTGCCAGCCTGCCGCCCAGAAGAACTGCCTTCCCCGTCGTGGCCTCAGCATCTTGGAGAAGCTCGTGAGAACGTGCCCCGTGTGGCTGCAGCTGGGGCTGGGCCGAGCAGAAGCGGCCCAGATCCTGAAACAGGAGGTGGCCGGGGTGAGTCGGGTGGCCCAGCTCAGTGGGGGGTAGGGTGGGGAGGTGAGATGCACACCTGCATGGGTGTCCCACTTAGGCAGCTGTGAAGGCGTCCCTTTTTGACCGTGGTGTTTCTCCAGAACTCAAGGTGGCAAGGCTGGAAGGCATGGTTTCTGCTCTGGGGAGCAGGTGTTCCCAGCCAGAGAACAGAGGAATTCACGGCTAGGGTGACCCCTCTCGGCATTTGGACTAGTGTCCTGGCACTCAGCAAGTTTGGGACAGAGCACATGCACAAAGACATGGGCATTCTCTCTCTCTCTCTCTCTCTCTCTTTCTCTCTCTCTCTCTCTGATATATATATAGATAGATATAGACATAGACATAGATATAGATATCACACACCGCTCCTAAGGTCTGGCAGGGTCAGGACAGGTGATGGGGGCCCTTGGCTGTGAGCTCACCCATCTAGGCCTACATGGATCTACATGGCCCTGACCACTGGGTCCCCGGCCTCCACCAACAAGGCAGGCCCTGCAGCTCTGGTTTTGGAGGAGTCGGCCATTCTGTTCCTGCTGTAACGGGCATGATGGGCACTCCCCCAGCAAGTGGGAAATAACCCTAAAATAGGACAACAGGAAAATCCATCCGCTCAGGAATGTCTGGGCCAAGAACAAAAGCACGTTTGAGAACAAAAGCATCCTTGGTGTCTTCAGCTGTGGGCGGCTGCGTGTCAGGCCGCGGGGAGGGCAGCACGTCTGTCCTAGATGTGTTCTCTCCAAGGCCTGTGGCTGAAGGCAGACAGGGAGGGCACCCCGGGGCCATCGGACCAGCCTCCTCAATGACAGTAGTTTACCGAATGACAAAGAGGAAGACCCTCCACACGAAGGACTGACACGGGGGCTGCAACAAATGGGCGCGGGCATGGGAACCGTGATGGGGATAGTGCAGGACCGGGCAGTGTTCCTTCTGTTGTGCAGAGGCCGCTATTGGGTCAGAACCGACTCCATGACACCTGTCTACAGTAGCTCTTCAGAGAGGACAGGGCCTTCGAGGGGGCCCTGGTGGTACTGCTTCTGCTTCCTGGGGGTCTCTAGTCCAGGATCCATGGGAGCAGTTCAAAGGAAGGAAAAAGAAGGAACGGGAAGAGCAGGCTGACTCACGTCAGCTCAGCAAGGTCCCAGCGGTGCTTGTTCCCATAAGCAAAGGAGCAGGGCGAGGACCCTGGGCACCATATCAGGGCAGGTGGTGGCCTGGTCAGTCAGGGAAGGCTTTCAAAGGAGCCACCCCCAACAGGGCGCCCCATCTTGGAGCCGCATGGTGAATGGCTTTCATCTGGAACTGTTCAGGCAGTACCCGACGAGGGGTCTTGAGGTCAACCAAGGAGACCCTTGCACCAGTCTTGTCCCTGGTCACCTGGCCTCACCGGAGGGATGGAGCCCAGAGCTGCTCCCTGGGATCTCCGCTGCCTTCCTGAGTCATGGCCCCATCCAGGGCTGGATGCCACCTCCACACAGTGAGGGCTTGGTGTTCTTTGTCCTGGGGGCTGGGCAGCAGGAAGCAGAGGATCGGATGGGGGGGGGGGGAGGGGTTTGGGGGACACCACCTGCTGCGTGCTGACCACAAGGCAGGCACTCTCCTGAAGCCACCCGAGCAATTCCATCATCAGCCACCTTTTGGGACACTGTCAGTTTAGCCTGCTTTCAGCTGCAAATAGCAGCAAGCCTGGCCTGAGGTAACTCTGGGCACACTCCTCATTGTCCCCCTGATGGCTCTTAGTTGTGTTTACGTGCTCGGGGCTGCCATCCTCTGGAACACTTTCCAGTAATCCCCGTCCTAGATTTGTCACCTAGCGGCACCGTTTTGAGGCCCTGTCCACGGATACCTCCCAGAGGGTTCCCCGTGTCTAGCTCAACAGCTAAAGCCCCTCATTGGGGAGCCCAGAGAAGACCATCTTCTTCCAATGGAGAGTACACTAAGGTAGACCACTGACCTGCCCACAGGGAGCATCTCTCAGGACCACCCTCCAGGCTGGAAGCATCAGGGGCCTGTGAGAGCCAGGCCACAGCAAGCACAGACCCCTCTCCTGCCCGTCTCCACTAGCTCATAGACACGCTGCCATCGAGCAATTCTGACTCCTCACCACCCTACGGGACAGGCAGAACTGCCCCTGTGAGCTCTCAAGACTGTAACTCCTTACAGGAGTAGAAAGCCCTGTCTTTCTCTGGTGGTTTCAAACAGAGACTAACATGGAACCACTGCACTCCCGGGACTCCTTGAAGGATAGCTCACTGCCATTGAGTCGATGCAGGACTGGCTGGGTTTGTTACGAGTCACAGAGGGTCACCATGAATCAGCACCCGCCGCCCCCCCACCACAGCTAACAGCCACCGTCACCTAACAGAGCCATTGTGAGAACTGAATGATTCTGAATGGAAGATACTGAGGGACCGAGCCCAACGTTGGCCACTTAGGGACCGAGCACAGACATGCGCCGCTCTCTTAACTCGGGCTCCTTTCCTTCTTGTCTTGCATTCAGCCCCTCTTGCCCCGGGTGTGTAGCCTTTGTCTCCCCACCTTCTGCCCTGAGACTTTCTCCCAAGTCATGCAGGTGGCTCTGGGTGGGACCTGAGGCCAGGGGACTGCGGGTGGGTGAGGGGAGAATTCATTCACAGCGAACACCGGTGGAGACCACTCACCATGCCGGGTGCCTCCTGTGCAGAGCCTCAGTTCCCCCACCCCCAAGAGGCAGGGCTGTGGCATCTTAAGTTTCTGCTGGGTGGTGGTAGGTGATATTGTCCACTGGACAGAGCAGAGCCCTGAGCTCAAGGAAGCCACCACACTCCTCAGGGACACAGAGCTGAGTGTCCCCAGGGGAAGCCCACCTGGTGGTCCTTCCCCCTCACTCGCTGGAGGAGTCCTGTCCAACCCCTGCCAGCTGCATTGTCTCTGAACGCCCCTGGGAAGGGTCCTGGTGGTATAGGGTGTACGCGCTGCGTGGCTCACCGCAAGGCCAGCAGTCTGAACCCACCAGCTGCTCTGTGGGAGAAAGCTGAGGCGCCCTACTCCCAGCAAGATCGCGTCTGGGAAACCCGCAGAGGCGGTTCTGCCCGGTCCTGTAGGATCACGGAGAATCGGAGTCGACTCGATGGCAACGAGTTGGGTTTTGCTTTGGGTTTCTTTGAAGCATGATGGGTGGAGAGTTCTAGCCGTGCTGACTATGAGAGGTGACTACGGTGCCAGGGCAGGGTCATGCATGATCTGCAGTGCTGGTCACCCTTGGGGAGGCCAGGGACGAGGGGTAAACCTATGAAGAGGTGCAATAAGAAGCCCACATTGTATTGTGACCCTGAACCTACGCACTGCATTTTCACAGACATGACATGTGCGTGCTGGGGTCTTTGCAAAACGGGCAGCCCCCTCTGTTCATTCGTTTCCTGCACATGCTGGGTGCATTATAGGTGTGTGTGCCCCAGCATGATTTGGCTAAAAATACACTACAGAACGTCCCTCTCCCTCTCTCTCTCTCTAACAAAAAGTCTACCCATAAGACAGGTCACGGTCGTCTCTTAGATTCTAGAAAAAACACACAACTGGACGTGTTGGTCGTATCAGCAATTTTCCCATGCCATCGTTGGCTGCTGTCACGTCAGCCCGATGCATGGTGACTGCATGCACCAAGGACGCTGCCCAGTTCCGAACCTTCCCCAGACTCGGCTAGGGCTCCATAGAGTTGTCACTGGCTACTCTCCGGAAGCAGGCTGGCCAGGCCTTTCCTCCTGGTGCTTCTCAGTGTAGAACCTCTGCTGGGCCCTCAGCTTCAAAGCAAGGCAAAGGGGCATTGGCTTGGGATAGAGCCGAGTCTCCTGCATAAAAACCAAAACCAATCTCACTGCCTCAAGTCAATTCTAACTCATAGCAACCCTAGAGGAGAGGGGTAAACTGTTCCCGGGGGTTCCCAAGATTGACTCTTTTCGAGAGTGGAAAGCCTCATATTTCTCCCATGGAGCAGCTACTGGTTTCAAACTGCTGGCCCTTTGGTTAGCAGCCCAACTTGTAACCCGTACGCCACCAGGGCTCCTGCCTCCTCCATAGCAGGTGAGAATTCTGTTCATAGAAGCAGAGCCTGGAGAAAGGTTCTCCGTGGGAGCCTTTCAAACTTGGGACCCTGCCCTCAGCCTTCCCTCCCCTTCGGGCCCACCTGAGTGATGCCCGAGTGAGAGAGACTGTGAGGCAGGGACAGAACACTCCTCTCAGCGGGGAGGGGTACCTGGCACTTGGCAGCTGTGCCCCAGAGGTTGGGAAGTTTCCAAAAGATGTTCATCACCAGTAAGGCAGGATGAGCCCGGATGAGGCCTCACATACAATACACAGTCTCTCTCTCTCTCTCTCTCTCTCTCTCTCTCTCTCTCTCTCTCTCTCTCTGCCATCGAGTCCATGCCAACTCAGAGCCACCCTAGAGGACAGGGTAGAACTGCCTCTGAACTTCCAAGACCGTAACTGTTGAAGGGACTAAAAAGCCCCGTCTTTCTCCCACGGAGTGGCGGGTGGTTTCAAACTACCAACCTTGCGGATCACAGCTCACTAGCTGAGGCTAAACCCAACCTTTTAATATGACAGACCCCGTGGAAGGAATTGGAACTCCCCTCCCTGTGACTAAGGAGTTCTCGTGGCCTAGTGATTGCACATTGGGCTGCTGAGCTTGAGGTCAGCAGTTTGAAACCACTAGCCAGCTGCTCCTCAGGAGAAAGAGGCGGCTTTCTATTCCCAGACAGTCACAGTCTCAGAAACCCACCGGGGCAGTTCTACCCTGTCCGCTAGGGTCCCTGTGAGTCAGCATGGACTCGATGGCAGTGAGTTTGGTTTTTGGTCCCCATGACTGCATGGGAGGCCGAGGCCCCAGGGACAGCTCCTTCCCTGGGGGGTGGGAGGGGGGAATGGTGGCCAGAGCAGAGTAGAGGACGTTGAACGATGAAGCCAGCTAACATATGTTCCGCACTCGGGACAGTTCCTGCCACAGAGAGTCAGGTTAATGTGAAGTATTTTTACTGATGTTGGGGGGTGTGGGGGAGCGTGAAGTAATTTCTGAGCTAGATTTAGGCAGGCGCCCCAGGGTACCTGACTTCCCAGACACGAGAGCTTTGACACAGACCACGCCTATCAGAGCAGGCAGGGAGATTGTTGAAATGCTCACTCCCTGGTCCTGGTGGCACCGTCTGATAAGCGCTGGGCTGTGGTTCAAGCGCTCCAGCCTCTCTGTTTGGGAGATAGGAGGCTGTCTGTTTCCGGGGAGCCTTGGTGACACAGTGGCTATACGTGGGGCTGTTCATTGCAAGGTCAGCAGCACCCGCCCCTCTTGGGGAGAAAGACGAGGCTTTCTCTTCCCAGGAACAGTCAGTGCCTGGGAGACCCACGGGGCTGTTCCACCCGCTCCTATGGGGTTGCTGTGAGTCGGCAGAGACTCAAAGGCCCCAGCTGGCTCTGTGTCTACACAGATCCTTAGGAAACACTGACCTCGGCGGACAAAGGAGGCTCGGTGGCAGACTTCTAACCTTCCGTGTGGGGAGACCAGGGCTGGATCCCCGGCCAAAGCAGCTCAGGCACAGCCAGCCACCGTCTGTCAGGAGACGCATGGTACTATGATGCTGACCCACCCCTCAACCGCCAGTGTGTTGTACTGGGGTGGCTCGTGTGTTGCTGGAAGCTATGTCATTGGTCACCCACGTTGGACAGGTTTCATGGGGGCTTCCAGACTAAGAGCAGACTGGGAAGAAGCAAGAGGCTGCCCTCTCCGTGAGGGAGCAGCCACTGAAAACCTGACCAATAGCAGTGACCCTTTGGACATGTTATCAGAAGAGACCAGTCCTTGGAAAAGGACATCGTGCTCCTAGAGCAGAGGGGCATTGAAAAAGGGGAGGGCCCTCAGAGAGATGGGTCTATGTCGTGGCTGGAACAGCGGACTCAAACGGAGCAGTTGTGAGGATGCCTTCGGGTCGCTAGCAGTCCCAACGGACTCGTCGGCACCTAACAACCTCAGCCTGACACTGACCGGTTTCAGCCAACCTTCCAGACCAGTGGTTCTCAACCTGTGGGTCGAGACCCCTTGGGGGGTCGAATGACCCTTTCGCAGGGGTCGCCTAAGACCACCGGAAAACACATATTTCCAACGGTCGTAGGAACCGAGACACGGCTCCTCTATCCGTCTCCAGGCAGGTCCGCCCACATGCAGATCCGCCCACCTACGAGTACCCAGCGTGAACTGTTATCCATGCTACACCATGCTTCGAGACAAAATTTCATTTATTTGTAGTTAGATATGAATATTTCACGATATATAATTACATATTGTTTTTGTGATGAATCACTCTGCTTTAATGAAGTTCAATTTGTAACCATGAAAATACATCCTGCCTATCAGATATTTACATGGCGGTTCATAACAATAGCAAAATGACAGTGCTGAAGTAGCAACGAAAATAATTTCATGGTTGGGGGTCACCACCACACGAGGAACTGTATGAAAGGGTCCTGGCATGAGAAAGGTAGAGAACCACTGTTCCAGAGGAAGACAGCGGAGCGGAGCGAGAGACCTTTATCTGTTTCCGAAAATTAGCCAGTGACACCCCTACAGACCACATGGCCTGACCCACAGCCAGTCACGGGGATGGCGGCCCCGCAGGGCCCTATTCCTGGGCTCCACGCCGTGGTGACCATTCCATACTGGCTCCGCGTTTAAGAACCTTCCACCCCGACAAAGCTGGCATCGAGTGACCACTCGCCCCCCCCCTCTTTCCTTCCAGATGTTCCTGGTCCGCAAGGACAGCGGCTCCAAGCACCTGGTGCTCTGCGTCCACTTTCCTTCCCGGGGCGAAGGCTCGCCGGAGGTGCTGGAGTACACCATCAAAGAAGAAAAGTCCAGTAAGTGCCTCCCCGCCCCGCCCCCTGGCCCCGCAGCAGCTTAAGCCCCGCCCTCTGACCACGCCCCTAACCACGCCTCCGGCCACGGGCGCGGGTTTCAATTCAAGAGGGGAGGAAGTCGCTGTTCCCCAGTTACCGGGCCATGGACTCCGTTTATTGCTCAAAGGCCAGTTTCCCTCTCTGCTCCCCCATCTCCTGCTGGTTGGCTCTGCCTCTTCCTGGACTCTTCTTCTCAGGAATGTGGGGCGACCCCGAGGGGGCAGGGGAATAGGGGGTAAAGAACTGGACGTCCCCTTACAGAAGGATCACTGGGAGGAGATGAGCCAGTCAGGGTGCAGGGTAGCAATGAGGAAACAAGCCACTTGCCTCTAGTTCCTAAATGCTTCCTCCCCACCCCCACTATCATGATCCCAACTCTACCTTACAAATCTGGCTAGACCAGAGTATGTACATTGGTACAGATAGGAACTGGAAACACAGGGAATCCAGGACTGATGACCCCTTCGGGACCAGTGGTGAGAGTGGCAATACAGGGAGGGTGGAGGGAGGGTGGGTGGAAAGGGGAAACCGATTACAAGGATTTACAAATAACCTCCTCCCTGGGGGATGGACAACAGAAATGTCGGTGAAGGGAGACGTCGGACAGTGTAAAATATGACAAAATAATAATTTATAAATTATCAAAGGATTTATGAGAGAGAGGGGAGCAGGGAGAAAGGGGAAAAAAATGAGCTGATACCAAGGGCTCAAGTAGAAATGTTTTGAGAATGATGAGGGCAACAATGTACAAATGAGCTTCGCACAATGGATGGGTGTATGGATTGTGATAAGAGTTGTACGAGCCCCCAATAAAATGAGTTTTTTAAAAGAACTAGGGGAGAGACCAACAGATAGAAATGTCTAGTATATTGTAAGTGTTGGCACAAAGTCGACATTCTAAAAGGCAGAAACTACATCTTATTTTCTTCTCACACAATCTAACACAGTTAAACATGGCTGGATTAAAGGATTGAAAATCTGATCATGGAGTGGCACTGTGTACTGAGTGTCCACCATTAAATAGTTATTATGAAAAGTGTATTCAATGGATGGGTGGATGGATGGATTGTGATAAGAGTTGTATGAGCCCCCAATAAAATGATTTTAAAAAGAAAAAAAATGAGGAAGAAAAGGAGAAGGCGGAGCTGGACCCCCGGGTCCCAGCGTCAGCTAGGTGCCATGATCTCAGGACGTCACGCACTTCTCTGAGCCTGTTTCCTCGACTGCACAACAGGCCCTGTCTTCACGCCCCTGCCTGTATCACAGCCCCATCCCTGTGTGCACAGGGCTGCCCCAGCAGAATTGGGCCCCGGTGGGTGGGAAGGTGTTGGGGCCCCCTGCTCAAGAGTGGGTTTGTGTTGCCAAGCAAGGTCACCCCTAGGCCACTGGGTTCAGTCATCTGGACCAGCCCAGGGCCATGTGTGCACATGTCCGTGTCAAAATCCGCTTAATGAAATGCAGGACAGAATTGCAAATTGGCATGGGATCCAGCCGGTCTGGAGTCGTAGAGGCTGGATGAATGGACGAACCACGCAAATTATTGCCCTGAGATCATCTTGAATCGTTCAACCCAGAAATAGCACCAGACGTCTTCCTGAAACAAAACAAGAGCTTAGCTGGCTGAGAATGCCTGTCTTGAGCCTGGTGCTTCTTAAGAATGTCCAGCTGACTGATGACCTGAGAGGGAGGGAGAGGAACTGACCGCAGGAGATCCCACTGGCAATGCAATGGAGAACGGCTAGATGGTGGTCTTCGAGGATCACGAGTGCATGGGAACGGGAGAGGAATAATTCAGGTGGCAAAGGCAGTCCACCTTAAAGAGCCTCGCCCACATCACTGAATTGTCCAGGGAGGCACAGTAGGTTGGATCCATTCTGCTGTGTTCGTTCTCAGCCACAATAAAATATAAAATTATTAGAAGAGAAAGCCTATTGGGAAAGTCTGTAGACTATTCAAGGTCCTCCTCTGATGGGCCCGCGGGGTTGCAGAGAAGTTTCTACTCTTGGTTGGCGGCAAAGTCTCACCAGTTCAAGGCGTGGTTGGTCGGTGCTGAGTCAGTACTGATTCACAGTGACCCCTCATACAGACAGCAAAACAGAAAACTGCCAGTCCGGGGCCATCCTCACAGTCAGTGCTGTGCTTGAGCCCATTGTGATGGCCACCACGTCAGCCCATCTCATGGAGGAGCGTCCTCCTTTTAGCTGAGTCTCCTCTTTCCATCTACTCATTCGCCATTGCTAGCGCCAATTGGATCACTGTGGTCAGTTCCCCTCACTTTCTCACGTCATCAGTCAGTTGGATGTTCTTTTTTTTTTTTTTTCATTTTTATTTATTTATTTATTTGTTTTTTTTGTTTTGTTTTGTTTTGACATTTTATTAGGGGCTCATACAACTGTTATCCCAATCCATACACACATCAATTGTGTAAAGCGCATTTGTACATCGTTTCTCAAAACATTTTCTCTCCATTTAAACCCCCGACATTAGGTCCTCATTTCCCCCCTCCCTCCCCGCTCCCCCCTCCCGCATGAGCCCTTGATAGTTTATAAATGGGTATTTTGTCATATCTTGCCCTGTCCGACGTCTCCCTTCATCCACTTTTCGGTTGGATGTTCTTAAGACAGAGCAATGCTCAAGCATGATCCCTGTGTGAGTCTGGGTGGACAAGAGAAACAAATTCATAGACACTCATATGTGTACAAGAAAGAGCTTTATGAAGGACCAATCTCTATATAACCCCCTCATAGGGGGACAGACAACAGAAAAGTGGGTGAAGGGAGACATTGGTCAGTGTAAGACATGAAAAAAAATTATAAATTATCGAGTTCATGAGGGAGGGTGGGGAGGGAAAAAACTAACTGATACCAAGGGCCCAAATGAAAGAAAATATTTTGAAATGATGATGGAAACATATGTACAAATGTGCTTGACACAATGGATGGAAGGATGGATGGATTGTGATAAGAGCTGTACAAACCCCAATAAAAATTATTTAAAATAAATAAAGAGCTTTATCTACAAAAGCAATTGATTATTGAGAAAACATCCCAGCCCAGTCCAGGTCAAGTCCATAAATCTGATATTAGCCCATATGTCCATTACCAGTATATAAATTCTTCTTCAGACTCATGCAGCACATACAATGATGCCAAATGCAGAAAGGAAGATCACAGGCCAGTGGGTGGAAAGTCTTGTGGATCCAGTGGTGGTGGAAGCAGCTCAGCACTGGCATGGGTTCCCACGTGGCTCCTCCAGCTCCAGGGCTCTTGTTGCGTCTGGGTAGCTCCATCAGGCTTGTCGTCAGTAATGTCTCGCAGGGAGTGAGTGTATCTGGCCTCCAGTGAGCTATTTATCTCCCTGGCGCCTCCAAATGAGGTCATCAAGCTGCGACTTGGTTGGCGGGCTAGACTCCACCCCTTCACTCTGCAGAGTCTCAAATTGACAACAGATTATGTAACTCCCACAATCCCCTTCTCCAGAGATCGGGCCCCCCTTGATAATGGCCCCTAAATACGAGACCAGTTTCGCCATTCTTGCTCCTCAGGAGCATTGCAGCTGTCCTTCCTCTGAGATAGACTTGCTCATCCTTCTGATGGCTCCTGGAAGATTCAATGTTCTTCTCCCGTCTGTCGGCCATGGGTGACCCTGCTGGCATCTGGGGTGCTGGAGGCATTGCTTCCAGTGTCACACTCTGACAGACAAGTGGTGGCATTTAAGAAGGACTATGAAGTGTTCTGACATGCTTCTTCCTAAGAAACAGCTGTGCCAGGTCCCGGGTCGAAGGGAAGGGGAGAAAGGCTGGGTTCCCAACCTCGAAGGTGGAGGGTGGAGACAGGCTGGGGCAGGAGACACCATGATGGCGACAGTTACTATGCAGTTACTGTGCCGTGTGACAGGTGTCTCACAGGAAGCGGGCCACGGTGGTGTCAGAGGGGGATATTCAGGCTGGATCATGAAGGGTGCGTATTCGTCAGATGGAAGGCTCCTTGTCTAGCCCCAGATGTGGGTGAGAAAGTAAACCTAGAAGCAGGTTCCCTTCTCCACTGAGACCCAGCCTCGTGCTGAACGTTGTCACTATGAGGTGCGGGGGCGTCAGTGCTGATTCACACTGGCCCTTGGTGCAGTAGAAAGAAACACTGCCCAGCCCTGCAGCACCCTCACAACGGTTGTTACACAGGAGCCCATTGACGGAATGGGCAAAGCCCAGGATACCGATTCTCCTGGTCAATGGAGTGCCCACCGTGCTGCAGGCACGGGCCTGCGGGTAGAGATGCAGCAGGGCACAGGCCAGCCTTTCATTCCAGGGGCGGGAGGCAACAGTGGAAAGTGAAAACAGAGGGAGCCTCCCGGAGGCTGTGGAGCAGATGGAGGTGGGGGCATGTTAGCTAGCTGTTGGCAACATGCATGAAGATGTAATGGCTTCAACCCAGAAGCAGCTTCTTCCCCACTGACTTGCAAGTTTCCTGGTTAGCAGGAAGCCTCATTCCAGGGCCTGGCTGCCAGAGGCCTGCCCCTTCAGCAGCCAGCCTCCAGCTTCCTGGGAAGCCATAGGCAGGAAAGGGGAACAGGCTTGTGGGTGGTGGGACAGGTCTGAAAGGAAGTGTATCACCTGTGTTACACGTTCCATTGGTTAGAATGGGTCACATGACCACATCTAACTGCAAGGGATACTGGGAAATGTAGTCCAGTCATGTGCCTCCAGACTGGAGAAGTAGAGGATGTGGATTTTAGAATCCCTATCACCAGATACTTTTGATATTCTTCACCAGCACCGTAATTCAAACACATCGATTTTTCTTCAGTCTTCCTGATTCAAGGTCCAACTTTCACGCATACAAGGCGGTTCAAAAGACCGTGGCTTGGGTCAGGCACGCCTTGGTCCTCAAAGGAACATCTTTGCTTTTCAACACTTTAAGGTCTTGTGCAGCAGATTGACCCAATGCGATGTGTCCTTTGATCTC